GCAGTGGACAGGGACTGCCCGAATCATCAAAACCCTTCAAATCAATTCTGAGAGCTTCGAATTGTTTGGACCTTTTTATTGGTCCCCTGATTTGATTCAGATTTGGTGATTCAGCCACTGAATTGGGCCAAATCTCCTCTGAATCAAATCAGCACCCGAAGCTTTGCACAGCCCTAACAAATATCATGTATATTTAATTATAAATCAAAATGAATGGTACAGTGCTACAACAAATTAAACATTTCAAATGAAATAAAATCAAGTGTCAAAATCAGTGTGCACCTGCCAAACTTCAGAATTTAACTAAAATGCATTTCTTTGGGACTCTTTGGCTCTTCTTGTTTGGCTCTATTGCAATTTTTCAGCTACTGGTAGTACAAGCTCACAAGATGGCATTGTTTCTTGACAATATTCTTATTTCTGAAGAGGCAGCTGCTCCACAATTGCTAGTTGTGCTTTTCTTCAGTATGTTATTCATAAGGGAGAATGGTCCTACTTATTTCCTTTCCTCCCTGTCCCTTCTCACCACCTCCCGCCCCCTGTATTGCAGGATAGGGAAGAAGCCAAGGCTCTACCCATTCCCTACCTTTGTTTTCCAGTCACTTCCTCCCTGCTGACCTCTTTGTAGACATACAGCCCCTGCTCTCTGCACTTCGGTGCCTGGATTGGGGGAGGGGGGAGGGGGGATAGGGGATGACTATGTAGAAGATTGAAGTCTTGGCTGGTATTCCTCCTCCTGCTTCTGTGTTGCCATATACGTTCGTTCATTATCTGTCCCCACTTTAACACAGATCCAAGAGTACAGAATAATTTGATGGGAGAAAACTATTTCTGATGCAGTAGAGAAGAGCAGCTGATGATATTTGCTTCCCATGCTGCAGCTTGACACTCTTTTTACATATTGTAGTAAATGTTTTCAGGCTAGAATAGTATTAGCTACTATGCTAATGCTCCATCTCTGTGTGAGGTAAACTCCGAAAACTGAAAAAGACTTCATTTTGTTATCTTCAGACCCTGGTTGAAGAATGGGCTTTGATAATTCAAAAACAACTTATCTGCCTTGCCTCAGCTACTATGATGCAAAGTTTGTTGTTTTGAAAATAATGTAGTTTATTATGTTTCATGTGGGGCTTTTAGTTTGGAGCCAATTTAGCTCTTGATTTACATGTGATTAGGGTATATGGCTATACTGAAAAAAGCTACAGAAAATAGAGGAAGCCAGGATGTTAATCTTCCAGGATAAATTTTTGCATGATTTGAGCTCCTTTGTCTCCAATAGAAATTACACAGTATTGTTCATCAATTTTATCAGTGACTTGGGAAGAGAGGTACTCTATGAAATCTTCACGTTTGCAGGTGATACTAAATTATTCTAGGTAGTCAAATCCCAAGCTGACTGTGAGGAGCTGCATAAAGATCTCAAGCTGAGTGAGTGGGCAAACAAATGGCAGATGAACCTCAGTGTTGACAAGTACAAAGTAATGCACCTGAGGAAAAATAACCTCAACTAAATGTACACATTGTTGGGGTCTGACTTAGCTATTAAAACTCAGGAAAAAGACCCTGGAGTGATTGTAGATAGTTCTCTGAAAACATCAGCTCAATATTCAGCAGTGACCAAAAGAGTTAATAAAATGTTTGGCATCATAAGGAAGAGAATTGAAAACAAAATGGAAAACACGATCGTGCCAATTTACAAATCCATGGTGCACTCAAATGTTGAATGCCATGTACAGTTCTGCTCTCTGCATATCCAAAAGATGTAGCAGAATTAGAAAAGGTACAAAGAGAAAAGCAACCAAAATGATCATGGGTTCAGGGCACCTGCCATATGAGGAAAAACTAAAAAAAATTAGGACTCCTTGGTTTGGAAAGGATGAGGATTGGGGTGGGAGGAAGGGGGAGTTGGATATGATAGAGGTCTATAAAATCATTGAAAGTATGGATTAAATGAAGAGGGAACTATTAATTACAAAATCCCAGAATACTAGAACCAGGGGGGCACCCACTAAATTTAATTGGACACGTTTAAAAGAAACAAGAGAAAGTACTTTTTAAAATGTAGCATATAGTTAACTTGTGGAACTCACTATCATAGGAGATTGTAGATGCAGAGAGTATAGCTGGGTTCAGAAAGGGACTAGACAAATTAATGGATGATTGTTCCGTTTAATATCTATCAGTAGATCTGTCGGGGATGAATCCTCTGGAATATCAAAACAACATAGTTGTCATTTTACCTAACTTGCTTTTAAACCTTGTGCAGGTTATCATTCAAGGGATATTTGAGACCCGGGGACAAGCTGAAACCATCGCTGTTGATGATATTTCTTTCAGTGAAGGATGTTTTCCAGAATTCGGTAAGAAGCTTTTTTTAATCAGAGAAACAATTCTTTCCCTTTAATTTAAAGGCACAATTCACCCCACCCCACCCCACCTCACAAAAATTGCGCTCAAAAGATTTCTCCGCTCCCTAATCATTTCTATGTGGTTTATATTTTTCATTCCTCCAACCCATCAGCTGTCAGATTATATAAACGCAACCACAAAGAGGGATAATAAATGCTTAAAAAATCAGTATAGTATAAATGCATTAAAAGCATTCTGTAGCTATTATAACACAAAGACTTCAATGAGCAGGAACGATCTGCTGTTCCTGGCCAGAGAATTAATGTTTTCAGCCAGCTAAGAGAAAGATGTACAGCTGACTTACACCAGAAAAAAATGCCTTACAGGATTTGCATGAATATCTGAAAACTTTATGACCATAACCACAACTAGACTGGGGTTACTTGGTGCTGTTCTTGTCTCCAGGTATCCATAAAGGCAGTTCAGCCAGCCATGGGAAGGAATCATCCAAGCACGGAAACATTCTATTGCCTTTATACCACCACAGAATCGCACTAAGGCAATTATCCCTCTCAGTGGCTCAGGGCATTGCTAGAGAAAAGGAGCCAAGACCAGGACCATTAGCAGCTGGCATAAGATACAGCATGATCAAGATTGCTTTAATTTATACAAGGGCATTGGGCCCGTATATTGATGACCCGAATTTTAGGCAATACCAGGGTAACTCTTATCTGTAGTATGTTGTAATGTGTGAGTGATTTTCTCAGGTTTGTTTTCATAAGATACTTTATGATTATGGTGTATTGGTATAGGGGTGAATGATTTTTCAGGACTCTTGGGATAAATGGTTGTCTGCAACCTTAGGGGTTTAGATTTGATAGCCCACTCTTATGTTACAACTTGGTTGTGGCACAGCTGAAGTTGGAGGCTCTTTGGGTGCCTATACATGTGTGGGGAGGCTGCTACAATGCACTGTAGTTACAGCACATCAGAGTAGACTTGATTAATCGAGTCTGCTGGGACATGCTAATTAGCACACACTCCAGTCAGCCTCTGCATCTTGTGCATCAGTGTCCCCACTCTTCAAAATGGTCGTGGGAGAACTTTAACTAAAGCTCATTCAACGTGCTTTAGTTAAAGCACCCCTGCCATCATTTTGAAGTGTGGGGACGCTGATACACAAGATGCTGTGGGTGCTTTAATTAGAGTGGCTCTCAGAGTCGCTCTAATTAAAGCCCTCCCACCACCCCAGGAGCACATGTAAAAGTGCCTTTTGAATTTACCTTGTATCACTGTTACATGTTCTCATCTGCAATGTAATATTTGATTCAGATGACCCAAGATTCCCCAGGGTCTGTCCTGGTATTGTTCAAAATCTTCATTAATGATTTGGATGATGGGATGGAGTGTATGTTTGGCAAATTTGCAGATGCCTCCAAGCTGTATGGAGTTGTAGACACTCGGAATGGTTGGGCTAGTATCCAGAAATACCTAGATGGACTAGAGAAATGAACTGCATTCAGTCAGATGAGATTCAACATGGACAAAATGCAAAGTCCTGAAATTAGAACAGAATAACTGCATGCACAAATACAGAATGGGGAATGACCATCTAAGCTGCAGTAGTGCAGAGAAGGACCTAGAGGTTATGGTATACCTTAAGGTGTCTTAAGCTGAATATGAGCCATCAGTGTGCTTTTGTTGCAAAAAAAAAAAAAGCTAACAGCGTGTATTAATAGGAATGTCACTTGCAGATGAAGGAAAGTGATTCTTCTCTGTGCAGCACTGGCGAGGTCTCACCTCACCAGAGTCCTGTATTCAGTTTTGGGCCCCACCCTTCAAGAAGGATGTGGACAGATTGGAAAGATTCCAGTGCAAAGCAACAAAAAAGAGTAGGGGCCTGGGAGGCAGAACTTATGAGGAAAGGATGAAAGAGCCTGAAGACAAGAAGACCTGAGATGAGATTTAATAACAGGCTTCAAAATACCTGAAGGGTGATTATGGAGAGGATGGAGATGGGCTTTTTTGTGACTGTAGGGAACAGGACTAGGAACAATGGCCTCAGGCTGCAGCAGAAGAAATTTAGGTTGGAATGTGGGTGGAACTTTCTGACTATGAGGGTAGTTAAGCATCAGAACAGGCTTCTTGGAGAAGTTGTTGAATTTCCATCCCTGGAAGCTTTCTAGCGTAGGTTAGATGGACACTTGACTGGGTTGGTTTAGTTAAGGTTGCTTGTGCCTTGAGCAGAAGTCTGGACTAGATGACCTTGTGAGGTCCCTTCCAGCCTTATGTGCCTGTGACGCTAAGCTTTTGCAAGCTGTTTTATGCAGTATAGTCCAAAATAGGAAGCTCCTTTGAGAAGGCAAGGGGATTAGACCTGTAAAGCTGATATGCAATCTGATTAATATTTTAGAGTGCTGAGCAATTATAGATGCTGTTACTGTTATCCTGAGAGTGAGACAGTTCTTTAATAGATTTATATTTATTTCACAGGACACACATCTAGCTAAATAGGAAAATTAAATTTCAGGCAATTAAACTTCATCTGTTATACTTGTCTTTAGTTCAGCTGTCCTGCATTTGGGAATTGTAGAAACATTGTCAAAAGATGGGTGTACTTGTTTTCATTCCAGAATTCACATTGATTTCCTAGTTTGTAACAGATTCCCAGCAAGGCTACTTAAGTGTGGGAACCAAATTAAAAATTTTCGTTTATTTATTTGTGAACTGAGACTATTCTGCAATATGGTTTTTTCCCAAGACTGAATTTCAAACTGTTGGTCAGTCAAGTATGCAGAAGAAAATATGATTTTTTCCCTTTCTCTTCAACCTATCCCCAGCTCTTCCCTTGAATCATATCTTGCAGGTGAGGTGAGATATTAGGACAGATTTAGAGAAAATAAATGATCATTTGTTTCTGTGGTTCCAGAACCAGCAGGCTTTTGCTTAAGTGATTTCTGAAGGTGTCTGTCTTCCTGCTTCTGTCTCTCCCCACACATTTCCTGGGTCTTTTTATAAACAGTTTCTTCAAAAAATAACAAAAGGAAATGCATGAACCAAATACCCCATTTCTCAAAGAAAGCCTAATTAAAGAATGGAACAAAAACTAAATAGTATTTTAATCAACTTGAGTTTAACGCTTAGATTTACTTATGTTGGGTGTCAGCCACTTTGGTACAAAGCATAACATACCAACTGATCTATTCCAGAAGTACACAGTACATCAAACTGTGCTTAAACAGGAGCTATTTCTTATCTCATCCTAATATATAAGCATATTGCAGAAGGAGTCAGCTTGTTAAAATGACATCTGAATTGCTCACAGGCACAAAAGAGCCAAGAGTAAGGGTCTTAATTTTTTTCCTAGAAAATAAGTTTTATTGTAGAACTTTTTAGGATGATTAAATAGAAGGTTGAGTTAATAACTGTTTAAGTTCTAGTGCCTTTTGTGTTAGCCTCCCTGAAACAGCAGGACAAAACAGCTCTAAAAGGATGCTAGTTTTAGCATCATGGTACAACTTTAATTTCTAATGAACGCTTCCTGGCATAGTCCCCAGAGTACCAGCCATTCTTTGCATCTCTACATTTGTGCTCATGAATATGCTTTTTAAATAATGTATAATATACTTTATTTAGGCTGTAGATATGTGATTAAAAAAAAAAAAGGCTTATCCAAGGCAGTAGGATGACTAACTCAGGCAAGAGGTTATGTGAAGTTTTATTTCACTCTTGGATTTATGTGCACTTGAAACTGGGATTCATGATCTGACTTCCCCCTCTTCCTCACTCCCCCCACCTATAAATTTAGATATCTTCATTTTCTTTTTATGTACAGGTGCTTGACTCCTTGTTTCCCTTTAAACCCTGGCTGGTAGTAGAAGACCTGGGTTCTAGGACCTCCTGTTGAAGCTGATTCCCTGAGGTCAGAGAGGGGAGTTTGGCTCCATGGCTTAGCGATGGTAGTGGATTCTGATCCCTGCTACTAATATTCTGTATGCATTTTGCATTAAATAACCACTGGGCAATGTTCACTGAGACACTCTCCAAGAAAAGGTACTGATCAATGGATTAGAAAGAGTGGGATCAAAATGCTCCGAACCCAACCTAGCCTAAAGTCCTGGAAAGTAGAAAGTGAGCTGGAACCCCTTCAGATTGAGAAGGGGCTAGCATTTGGGTCTCCCACATCCTGGGTGAGGACTCTAAACATGAGGGAAAGAAACAGAACTGGTGCAGCACAGCACCTTGATATTTTTAATGAAAATGGCTCTGGCTGCTAGTCTCAGCACCATCATGTGTATTACATGGGCTTTGAGCTTGCTTACCAGATTTGGGCATATGAAGGCTTGGCTGTAAGCGAGGTACCCAGCTATTTAGCCTGGGAATCATGTCCAAGGCTGTATGTAGACGAAACATTGTAGGGTGTGTGGGGAGGAAGCGCAGACAATAACCCACACTGCACCTCCTTGCTGTCAGACTTCTGCCTCCTATCAGCAGTGCAGGCACCAGGAGAGCATTCAGGAACTTCTTTAAGTCCCTAAAGCATGTGAGAATATTTGCTCCCTTCCCCTTGGTGCTCAGAGGCACATCCTCTCCCCTCCTCCACCTGCTGCTGTTGTTTTCCCTACTGTTGAGCTGGGAGTGGGGTAAAGCTGTATAGCTGTTCCTGCCCATCTCAGATGGACTGTACAGGGCCTGGGTTCAGCTGGGAATGGGGCCTGGACAGTGGCAGCAGGGATGGAGGGGGAGTTCCCTCTCCCCATGCCTGGTTGCCAAGGAGGGGGAAAACTACTTCCCTATTATGGTATTGCTACTGTTCCTGTCTCCAAGTGAGCCCAGGCCCCACATAGCCCAGCTGGGGTAGGCAGAGGTGGCTCTGGAGCTTCTCTCACTCCTGGGAAAGCAGGAGCAATGGGGGGGGGGGGGGGGGGGGGGGAAGGCAAGGGGGGAAAAGGAGGGAAGGGGGGGGGGGGGGGTGAGGGCAGGAAGGCAAAGGGAAGAGATGTGCCTCTGAGCACCAAAGAGAAAGGAGAGGAGGGCCTTAAAAATGTCCCTAGAGGCTCCCACTGTATTTTTCATTCCAAAAGGGGGGTGCAGCCTTGCCTCCGCTAGATCTACCCCATCCACACACACTTTCCTCACTGCCTGTATAAGCTCTCCTGCTCCCACTATTCCTGCTCATTCACCATTGGGATAAAAAAGGTCATATCTTGTTGCTTTTATCCACTGAGCTCCTTCTTAGCAATTCTATCACCTTCCCTTCAGTTGATACATTTTTTTTTTGCCCTTAACTTTCTATTCATAAATGTTGAAATATCCAGGAATTAAGATAGAGTTGTTTCTGATTTCATAACAAAACTATTCTGTGGCAATCAGAACATTAGCGATATTTAACACAATTTAAGTCTCTTTTTTCTTTTAATAGGATTGGATCATTCAAATTATTTCTGAAGCTGCATGGATTATTTATGTAGGGTCAGGCTGTATAGTCCTTATGCGTAACAATCTCACATTAACATCACCATTAAAACAATAAATGTTAAAATGTTGAACTGCAGCCCATTTTTCTGAAGGTTGTTCGTGTCTGTTACTCAGCCAGGCTGTAGCAGGAAGTAATGCGGTTGCATAAAAAACTGGCTTGGGTAGCTTTACATCAACAGGATAACTATTCTACATTTAATGCCTTTTACAGTTTTTACTTTACAGCTCCTTTACGTGCAATCATTCCAGTCATTCTCTATGTAAAGAAGTGGCATAACTGATGCTGACTGTTTGAATCTAGCCCAGGGGGCTTCTCCACCTGGCCCTCTGGGTTACCAGTAGGCTACTGGAAGTTGGGGGGTTTGGTCAGGGATGGGCACAGCCTGTTTCAGAATCTGGGCCTGTGCAGCCCTGGGAGTTATAGCCCTTGGTGGCAGGTGGGCAAGTGAGGGATGTGCATCACAGTCCTCAGTCACTTTGCAGCTGTCTGGCCTGCCGCTGCTTGCGAGCAGCCTAGCTCATGGCCGCTTGTGCTATTGCTGCTATTGTGGCTGCTGCCATAGTAGCCACCACTGCCACCCTGCCACTGCTGCGGTAGATATGGCTACTGCCCCTTCTCCAGGCCCAGGGCCAGATTCACCCTGAGAGCAGCCCCGAAGTCCAGATCCAGTGCAGGGCGCACCATGAGGTTTGTATCCCTGCATTAACCATGATGCAGTTGTAGGAATCGGCCACTTCAAATCATGGACTATCTTAAGAAAAACACTGAAATAATCAAAGTGCTCTTCATCTTCATTAGTGTATGAAGGTTCAGTGTGGTTAGAATTCTTGCACGGTACCAAAATTGAGACATTTTGGGGACTTTTCAGTCCTCTGAAATTCTTTGGAAATTAACCATGTGGGCCTGAAGGGATACCTTCATCCTTAAATTTGTCTCTGTAATGGAAGGGGAAGAACTGGCCTTCATGAAAAATTAAGAGAAAACTCTCAGGAGAATGAAATTAAAACAATTGTGAAACTGGATAAACAATCACCTATCATGTACCATCATCAACCAAATTCTCATTCTGCATATAGCTCAGAGATGCTTGCTATTTCTGGGATGCTTTTGTTGCCATTAAGAAGGTTTTAATATATTTATAAGGAATGGTCAGTGGTATTTTAGATATCATAAGGTGTCAATTAGTGGAAAATATTGGCCTTTTACTGTGCCCATAAGATCTTGATTTTTAATAATTGCTATCAAATGAAACTTCATAATATTGTGAGTGATTTTATTCTTGTGGTGCAACAAACACACAAACCTATGCAATACTGCATTCAGTATCACCTCTGAATGCATAACTGAAATGTTCTGTTGTATCATAGAGATATTTATTTAACTTGCTACTTATGGCTGATTTTATGTACTAACCACTTACAGGAAATAGCTGTTTATCCTTCTCTGTGACGTGTCATGTTTGATGAAATGATTGATAGTGCTTGAAAACTTTCTTTCTCTAAGTGAACTCACAGAGGTAGAAAATGATTGGCTAATATAAATAGCAGTATGTTGCTCTGAAAGAGTCATCCATCTTTAGGGACTGACTTTTTGAAGTGATATCATTAAAGATGGCAGCCTTGAATATCATCTACACTCACTAGTAGCCTGGATATGTGTGAGGTAATCAGAGGCAGAAGGACTGTCAAGTAGTTTAATGAACATGCACCTCTAATGGGACATAGCCTTTATAAATAATGACTTTAGGAGAAACTGAACAATTACTTTCCATTGCCGTATAGTGCAGCCAGCCTGCAGTTTCGAATTTGACATGTGTGACTGGAATTCCAATGCAACGTTTGAACACGCATCCTGGGCACACGTGAAAGCAGGACATAATATCCCCTCCAATTCAAGTCCTCTGAGAGAGCAAAGCAAAGATACTGAAGGTAAGAACATTGTTATACACAGCTAGTAGTTGTCATTTAAGACTGATATTTTTTAGAAAGTGAGAGGGACACTTCATAAAAATAGAATTAAAAAGCATGAAAAGTTATTACATGCATTATTTCATACTTAAATTACCCTTTATTTCTACATATTAAGAAAGGATAACAAGAACAGTGCATGTTCTAGATAAACTTAAGATATTTATTTAAAAGTTTCCAAATAAACTGATGATTGGCAAATCAAACCTTACACCACTCCAATTATGTTTTGTCCTACTGGTAGGCAAGAACTACATCACCAGGATTCTCTGGCAAATGGAATCCCTCCAGCTTCTTTTTGTTGGCAGTGTCTTTTTGTTGCCATAATGTTATTTGTAAAGCACTGCTCTGTTTCAGTCTTTTATGCAAAGATATCACTTGATATTTTCAGAAGACCTGCACATAAACATTTGCTAATCTGAATAATTAATACTGTTTAAAAACTGTCTGAAAATGACTACATTTATGATTCCCTAACCAAAAGTACAGCTTTAGCACTGGCAATTCGAAGTTTCTTTACAGCACTTTTTGCAGTATATTGATAAAGACTTTTGAATAGCTTAACATATATAAAATACATGCATTTTTAGATGGAATAGAGTCTCTGTGCCCATCTACTTCTTTACTTTTCTTTTGGGATTATGATCAAAGAAGTTACATAGCATTTACTGTGAATGGTAACATTTGTGATGTATCTCTTGAGGACTGTTAGTACCTCTATTGGTAAGTGAACTTTGGGCATAAAGATAATGCAAAGCATATCATCAGTACTGATGAAATAAATGTGTTTAGGGTTCTTTTGTTTGTACTTTGGGTCTCTTGCTTTGCTTGGAGTCAGTTGCAAGTTTTCAATGCTTTATGTCAATCAAGATGCTTCTAGTTTAAGTGAATTTGTAGGCAAATACAGTTACTATATGCACATGGTCTTATTGAGTAGAAGGGATGTTGCATAGGAAACTAGGATTAATATTTTTATTAATTTACTGGGTGGCATTGATGCTCCTGGTAGTACTTAGAGAATAAAAAAGTTCCTACCTAGAGGATCTTGCTCTTCTGCTCAGGGCTGTATCAGTAAATTTAGATCTGAATGTCTTCTAGGCGTGGATTGTTTAGGTTCTTGCTTTCCTCTCTACCGTGGAAAATAGTCCCTTTCCTAGGACTTTTTTTTAACATGATATTAATCAGCTATTTCCCTGTCATTGCAGTAGCAGGACATTGGCAGTGTCTTTCACTCCCATACTTTTACATACCAGGGGTGTTCTTGGTGTGCCTTGTAATTACATGTGAAAGTTTCAAGCCACAGTTTTGGAGAGTTCTTCACTTAATGGTTACTTGCAAGTGCAAGGGACTGGATTTGACAGCCCCGGAGGCTCCTTCCTCCCTTTTGTTTGTAGTTGTGTTATGGGATCTTCCATTTCCACCTGGAAAGGTGGCAGTGAAGGAATCTTGGTTTAACACGTCTATCAAGTCAGAAAATGTCCCTGACAACAATATTGTAAGCAGCAGTAGTGTCTGTAAACAATTCTATGGTAATATTTGACCAAAGCGGGTGGTCATTCTCTCATGGATGCGATATCCTTTCTGCCTTTTCATGTGATCTTTGACAAGATAGTGTTGGGTATTTGGTCAGATCAGACTTAATACCATAAGTGACATTTATTGGAAATGAACGTGTTTGGAAATTCCTATAATGAAGTTATCTAGATATCATTCCTTAGGTAAATATACATTATATATAGGTAACTATGTACAAACAATATACATAGTCAAATAAGTAGCCTGACTATAATGCAACAACTGCTTGGACTTCTAAAATCTTTCAGTATCATAAAGGAGAGATAACATAGAGCACATTACAAAAGAAAAACAATTACAAATATAAAATTTTCAGAAATGTTGGAAGGCAGCCAAAATCCTGAACTGGTACATCTGATCTCTCCTTGACACACACTTATGCAGCATTTCATGTTTGCTAATTATTCAAACTACAAAGGAAAAGCAAAGGTCAGCTTAATGACTAAAATGCTTAAAGCCAGAAAAAATGTAGGAAAAGCTCAAAAATCTTGCATGAATGTTCAAACTTGCAAATAGAAGGGATTTTTTTTTTATTTTGATTTGTTTTTGATCAAAGCTTCCACTGTCCTAAATAGGAAAGGGTAACAAATTAAATAATGAAAAACAGCTCTAGACAATCACATCTATAAAGAAAGGATTGCTTATAGGATTTGAGTAACCCTCCTTTCCTGGTATTCTTAAATGTAATTAAAAAAACCTCTAACCTTAGCTGACTTTTTTAAAAGGTCATTTCCCAAGTGCTATCTTTTAGTCACTTGCTTTGTTACTTTTCCTGCTAGTTTACCTAACAATAGAAATTCTCAGATATTTTGCTTTCTTCTCTAACCCTACAACTTCTATCCTTACTGTGTTTCTTGTCCAGCTTCTGGCACACTGGGCATGGCTGCTATAATTATTTCTCTTCTTATTGCAGCACTCTGCATTCCCACATCAAAGAAGATACTTATTTAATTAGAAACAATATAAGCCAGTTCTCTGGAAGTTTTATTTTTACATATTATAAAACCAAATCAAGTCAACCCCTATACCTTGGTTAAAAGAAAAAGCAACAAACAACATTCATTACACCTCTCTTTTCAAGTAACTAATAGTGACTATCCCATAAGGTGAATGGAGGTGGGGGGTGGTATGGCCACATCATTTAAAAAGTACTTCCCCACCCCCTCAAAGTTTCCTAAATTATTTCATTTATTGCATTTGAGGTGTCACAAGTTCCCCCTCTCCCTACCTCCCACCACAAATTAAAACAACTCTTAGTTAGAGAGGCAGGGGGTACCATTCCTGGAGAGCTTGATTGCATGTCCTTGTGGCAGGGAGGTGAGTCTGGGGTCTTCAATCCTCTTGGTAGCTGGCAGTGTTGGTGCAGGGGACAAGTCAGGGATCTCCAGTGCTGGTGGGTGTGGATTCCCTGTTGTCAGGGGAGAGAGGTGCTGGGGGCTGGCAGATTTGGGTTTCACTTGATCTGTGTAGACCTTGACCCAGAACTGCCAGACCCTGCCTCTTCCCTACCCAAACAGCTGGGAACCTACCCCAATCAGGACTGGGGACCACTGATCTGACCCCCATATGAAAACAGTGGTAGGCAAAATATGACCCGTGAGCTGGATATGGCCCACCAACTGATTGGATCCAGCCTGTGGCTTCCCCCATAGTGGTCCACATGGGGTTGAGCTCCACTTGCTCCCACCAGGGCAGCCCACTAAGGCTGTGTGAAATTTCAGCAGATGTTTCATTTTGAAGCTGTTTCAACTTGTTTTGAGCTCAAAACAGTGAAATTGAAATGAAATGAAAGTTTTCGAAACAGCTCTCAGTAGGCTGCTGCCGCAGGCTGGGGCCAGCAGCAATTACTCGGTGCTGCCACAGGCACCAGCCAGCAGCAGCAGCCTGCTAAAACCCAGTGCGCAGATCTGGGGGCCTGTGCCCCCCAGGAAGAGCTGGGGAAATGAGCAGAAAGCTGGGGAATTGACACCAGAGGCTGGAGGAATGGTCAGGTCCCTGACCATTCCTCCAGTTCCTGGTTCGATTTCCCAGTTCCCTGATCTTTCCCCCAGCTGATCCCATGGGGCACGGGCTCCCGGATGATGCAGGATGACAGCGTGTGCCTCCAGATGGGCTATTTCCCCAGCTGGCAACAGCAGCCTGCTGAAACCCTGCATGCAGATCTGGGGGCCACACCCCCTGGGAAGAGCTGAGGGAATGATCAGAGAGCTGGAGAATGAAACTGGGAACTCCGGCCGAGAGGTTGAGCCACTCCAGCTCCAGGACCGCATGTGGTGCCATGCCTTGCAGCATGCCAAGCTGCGCTGCACCCACACTATGGGGCAGCTGCCACACGGGTGCCAGGTGGGGAGGGGGTGATTCCCACTGCCTTGCGCTACATATGGGGGGAGCTCTGCCATGAGCCCTCAGAGACCCCAATCACTGCTCCTGCAGGTAGTGAGTGCAGGGTTTTTTTTTTGTTTGTTTGTTTTTTAAAGCTGTGCACACCCGCTGTGTAGCATGTGGATGACAGCATGCTCCTGATGCCAGCAGGGGTCAGCACCAGCACCTGAGTCTGCCTGGTGCAGCCCACGCTGAGTGCCGGGAAGAACCAGTGCTGGTGTTGGCCCCAACCAGCAGCAGCAGCCTGCTATCATCCTGTGTGCACATCTGGGGGCCTGCACCCCTTTGGAGGGCTGTGGGCCTGTGCCAGACTCCTCCCAGGGGGTACGTCCCCAGATCTGCATGTGGGATGACAGCAGGTTACCGCTGCCGGCAAGTGATATTAGTTTTGCTTTGACCAGTTTGAGGTGCAGTTTCACAAACACCCCTGTACCTACCTTCTTGAAACATGGCAGCCTTCATGCCCTCAGAAGGGGCTACCATCCCTGCAATGTTCATCTGTTCATATTGGCTGTTCAAATGCTTGTTTCACATTTTCTTGTCTCAATTTAGAGACATTGAGTTTTTTGGGTATTTTTTTGCCATGTGGTCATCTACTAGGATGTGTCCATATATTCAGCTTGGAGACTATGAGCTTGTGGTCAGTCCAGCATTCTGTACTTCTCATGGCCTTTGTCACTCTGACATCCTGTCTGTCTCTTCTCCTGATGATGACACAATCAGTGAGATATAAATGCTTGGAGTGCAGGTGCATTGAAGACATCTTGTTCTGGTTTGGCAAGTGGTGATGGTGATAAAGAGGTCATGTTCAGCACATTTCCTCAACAGGAGGAGCCTGTTGCTGTTGCATTTCCCAAGGCCATTTTTTCTGATAATGCCTGGCCATGCCTGGTAATCTGTGGCAACTCCAGCACTAAAGTCACCAAGGATGATGAGCTTATCTGCCTAAAGAGACTCCAGATTTTCATAATATTCCTGGTACCTACAAACGAGTGAGTAAGTGG